TTTTCCATTATATAGTCCTCTAGTCATAGGGGACCTTAACCCTTTTTTCTTACTGCATTCTTTTTGTGGAACTTTCGGATTAAATTCTTAAGAAAATTTCTTATCCAGAATATTCATTATCTATTGTGTTTGAGTGCTGAGACATTGACATACTCAATACTGCTTAACCCAAAACACCAGTAAAGGTTTTTTTTTTTTTTAACTTACTAAAACTATAGACTGTATGTAAAAGATGGATGTAGCAATTGTGACATCACTCATTGATGTCACAATTCTGAAAACATGAAGCTCATCTACAAACAACGTGCCTCCGTCCAGCTAAACTCTGAGCACTATTCCACTGTCAGTTTTGCAAATCTCTGAATGCAGTTTGCATGAATTTGCACACATTGTTGACAGAGGAACACTGGCTTACAAAATGCAACACGCTGAGTCCCAGTTAATTCAGTTCGATTCAGTTCAATTTTATGTATGTATTTTATGTATGTGCAAGCGCTTTGGTGACAGTGGCAAGGTCAAACTCCCTAATAACAGGAAGAAACCTCTGGCAGAAACAGGCTCAGAGAGAGGCAACCATCTTTCGAAACTGGTTGGGGTGAGTGGATGAAGACAGTGATCAATAATAACTAATAAATAATACAAAGAGGTGTATAAACACATAGTGAGTGGAAAAGGTGACTAAAGAAGAAACTGTGCAGTTGTGCTTGTTCAGGCTCAATTTGAAGAACAATTCGATCATGTGTCATTGTGTGAAAGAGGACGAGCGAGAGGCGGAGGAGGCAGCGGAAAGCAATTCTAAAAATTCTCTTGTTAGTTCATTTGACATAAATATGTCAACAGTGTGTATTGTTTTGTTTCGTGGAAGAAATAAGTTTTGATAAGATGGTTTTGAGTGGTGTGTTTCATTTTACACTAGATGTGTAGTTTGTGTTTTGAGTTTTGAGAAGTGGAGCCACGGTTTCTGGAAATGTGTTTAAGAAAATCTGGGAAAGGACTTAATGTAGCAGTGGGAGGTGGCGTCATAACATCTTTGAACCAACACATAGCTGCTATTGCTGCTGTTAATAAAATAAAAACTAATTGAGCAGATTAGGATTTCAAGTAAGAACAACAATGTTTAAATGTGTAGTTAAGAAGTCACACACATCCAGCTCAAATCTCTGCGAAGGAGTTCAAAAAGTATGGACGAACCTGGCAAATGCTATGGCAGCTTAGCTGATCTTATCCACTGTGTATCTTTTTTTTGGCCAAATGTGAAATGTTAAGATGTCTGCTGGTAGAAGCTATAAAGTTGGCTAACAGCTTCACTGTTTGATCTGTCACTTGCAGATAAAACAGCTCATTTACAGAAATATATCAATTGAGTGCAACAGTAAATCCCTGAAACCACCTTCTCTGTGGCAGCTGAACCTGTCAGGATTAACCTTTCTGGTGGAAACCATGAAGGCACTGCATCTATAAGTGTAGACTGATTTGAAATTGTGTTCTGTATGACCGTGCAGATATCGTGACAAAAAAATGAAGCGACACAACGCTCCCTGTTGAAAGACTTAATGTCTGCAAGTTGATTTTTTTACCATGTGGCCCTGAATGGAAACCAGTGGCAGTGTGGTTGGAGGGGGAAAAAGTTTTGAGATTTAAGCCACTATCAAATGGTTGACAGTAATGTGGGGTGTTTCACAGTAAATAGGCTGCAACATTCAAAACCACTAGTTTGCCACTTTTTCAACCTTCCCACCAGACAAAGTCATCCCCCTAAGTGATTTTGTCGCCACACTAGTATTTTGTTCTGTCATGCTGGGCGAAGTAACTGATGGATCACAGTCCCAAAGGGTCACAGGACAATCTCTTAACAGTGTATTTGTCTAATATCCACATTAAAATAACATCTGTTTGTGGTCTGGTTGTGAGTGAACCCTGGGAGCAGTGAAGGAAAACTTTTGCCATTACTCACACTTTTGTGAACGTTGACAGCTCAAAGCCAGATCCTGTGATATCCTTCTCAGCAGACTAAACCTACACACACCCAGTGTACTACATACCGAGGAGCATCATATCACATGATGAAAAACGCAGATTACGGGACGCATGCATCATAGATACGTAAATTGTTGAATGGGTTCATACGTGGAGGCAGAGGTATGGGTTCTTATTTTTCATGAAACCTTGAAACATTACTCCACTCTCCAGACAGTAGCGAATGGCCTGGGTTTGAAGCAGAATATGAGGATGGGATTAGTGCCTGTAATAACAGTGGGCTTGAGGGTTGGGCATGACAAAGTGTTACTGTGGTAAATGGAGAGCAGTCGCCTGAGCCGCTGATGCCCTTGCCAGACTGTAAACCAACTCCTCAGTAGGCTATTGTTGGGACCGAGCAACATGAAGACACCACATGCTCCCAGTTCTCGTAGAGGAGGTAACCTGGGAACATTCATTTCTAGGCTGAATGTTTTTTTTTAGTGTTGATGGTATCTCTTTGGCTGGGCTTTCCATTCATGAGTTGGAGTTTCTGTCTGCTCATTTTAATTTCAAATTGAAAGTTTGCAAACTAAAACTTCCCATCGTTTCTTTTGTGGACAGGGCAATAGCTATATCTGGAACACACAAGGTGTAGATTTTATTTTTACATTTTAAAACCCATACATTAAAAATCTTTAAGGGTACTCTCTGTCATTACTCACTGCAAACTTTATAATAAATTGTTCATCACCTAATGCCTTTTTCTAGGTTGTATTTGTAAATATGATGCATTCTCAGTGAATTACCTGGTACAGTAAAGGTTACATCAAACCATCTTGTGGTACAAATTAAAATTTTATAGAGTGAATCTATCTTTTGAAACATATAGTTCATTTACTCTGGTCTGAATCAGCTGTGTTTGTTAACTTGTAGCTTTTTCCTGTAGTTTGGCTTCTTTTGACACGAGAAAACTACAAGTTAACCAAAATGTGTGAATACAAACCACAGGAAGAAGTCAGTGAGTTCTGGATTAGCTGATAACATGGTTATGGTTCCATTCATGGCCAACAGGGTTAGTTGCTACAGCTAGTGTACTCTACTGCATCCCAGAAAGCAAACTCAGGTGTATGCTGCTCAGACTTGGTAGCTAGGTTGGATCAAGGTTGGATCAAGTTATCACGTTATCTAAAAAAAAAAAAAAAACACTCCGGAGTTCAAAGACCAAAGTTTCTTGGTATTATTGTTTTGGTTTGCTTGATTTTAGAGTTAAAATACAAATACACAGGCTACTTTTAAGTATAACTATATTTAAAGCAGCAAAAATAATTACAATGCTATAGGCAAGGATAACTTGTTATAAAATGCAGTTGGCAAAAAACAAACAAAGTGTTAAACATAATGAAATTTAAAAAATTAAAGAGCTGCGGGTGTATAAGTTTTAATTACCAGTTTTTCCACCTCAAGTTTTCATACTGAACAGTTTACATGCTTACACCTAAACTATTACGATTCTGTTCCAGTGCTGTATCCGAGTCTTTTAATTTGTGATTTTATATGAGGTAAGTCAGATGCTTGTGGGGTTAGTAAGACTGGTTTTTACTAATAAATCCACATACACTAGAGTGGTTCTCACCAGTTTAATCTTACAGGGTTGGCACAGACATCTAATACAGCAAAAGTCCCCCCAAATTGGTCCCTTGGATATATTCCTATCAAATAAAGTTTGAGTGGACTGAGACATTAAAACTTAAGTGAATCCTTGAAACTGAATCCTTCTTTGAAAACTTTTATCACAGAGCATCACGTTTCAGCACACAACCCATTCTTGTCTAAGAGCACCAGTGAAATGAGCACCCGTGCATAAGAAATTTGAGGAAGCATTTCAAGTCAGAAGTAAAACCATCATCAGCATCCCCCGCTGTCTGCCAAGCTACTGTACTACTGACTGGCTGGGTTAGTCTTGGAGTGGATTTGAAGGTCAGGGACTCATAACTCCTCATTTGATGTCGCCATTTACTTGGCACGGGGATAATCTGTCTCACTGCCCAGAGCTCTCACTGGCGTCCAGGGGACTATGTGCTGGCAACTGGCTGGGTCATTTCAAACAGCTATAATAAAAACACACTTTGTCCACAGCTTAAATGAAATAGTCAAGGAAACTATTAAGATGCCAGAAGGAAAGTGGAAAGACTGTCGCCAAGGCGTTGTCAACACCAGACAGTCTGGTGTGTTTGCAATTCTTTTTGTAATGTGTTTTTACATCACTGTAAGTGTTAGGCTCTCATCAGGTGCTGGTGAGTCATTTGGGAAATGTACCATCCTGTTTTATGAGTGGTAAAGGATGCATTCTGTGGGGCTAGCACAGCTGTACTTCCCCGTACACTACTTTTGGGACTCCCAAACAAACACATTATAGTGGGCTGATAACTCAAACCAACTGTTTAAGTGTGAGGTCAGTGAAAATACTTTCTGTGGGTTTCCCTTGGATAGGTTAAAAAAATCTCTGCAGTCTTGTCCATTGGACTGAAATCCTGCATAATTTCTCTCTGCAAAAATATTCTCTCTACCTTTTCTCATTAGATTTTGGAGTAATGGGGTTTCTTTAGTTCATTTAATATATATATTCTATATATATTTGGCTGCTTTTGAAGTGTTTGCTTGTTGTTTCGTTTAGGTAACAGAAAACTAGAAAGTATACTGGATTTGTGGTCAAACTGATTGAATTACTAGAAATATGTTGCTTTTTTCAGAATCTGTAGTTTAAAAGGTTTTAACAAACTACCATTCAGTTGTCAGGACATGTAGCATTTCATTGTCAGTGTATTAAGCACAGTGCATGATACTGTATGTTAGATTGCTTTGGTATAATCATTACATATTTAGTGGCTCCATAGTATAGTAGTTTACACATTTAAGTAATAAGCAAAAGATTCCTGGTTTGATTCTGGGACGAGACACAAATCCTCCAGTGTTGGGTTAGAAAGTCATCTGGTGTAAAAATCAAGCATCCAAAACTACTGGCTGTGGTAATTGCCTGTGAATGAGGCAGTAACTGAAATTAGCTTTCTTTTTAAATAATTTTATTTAGTTTGTTTAATATAAGTAAACAAGTTTATGAAAACACCAATTTGGGGTTTTAGGTGGAGTAGTAACAAGTTTACTCATCCAGTTCTTCTTGTGTGATCTATCTCTAGCTAATGTGCTGATTACCAGATGTGGTCATTAAAGAATTAACAACTTAACCTAATTCACTTGGAATTAGGTGGAACAAACAACAAAATGCATGTGGAAATCTGAGTTTTAGAAATCTTTGAGGATTATTAAATTCACTCTGGGTTGGATAAGACTGTGTGTAGCTAGTTAAGGGTTTTAAAGTGTTTTGTCTCTCTGATCGACTAATTTATAGTTCTAGTGAAAATAGTAGCTAGGAATAAAAAACAAAACCAACGACTTTTTGATGTGTCAGAATCATTTTTTTTTATTTGTTCCCTGAATGACCAAATATGGGAGAAAAGTTTAATAAAACCAAAAATGACATATTCTGATATATTCTAATATTCCTGTCTAGGGTTAGAGTTCAGCTTAAGGCTTAGAGTAATATTTTAGTATTCAGTATGTGTGCCCTGTATTTTTTGCAGGTTAAACGTAGCATTATGGTTATACTCTCTTTCAGTATATAGGATTACCTGACTGGATAGGCATTGCTTGTCTCTACGCATTCAGTGAAGAGACATCACACCGTTGAACAGTAACATCAGATTCCCATAACATAGTGAGAGCGTTTTAATGAATTGTGAACAGCTGTGCTTTGGATTTCTTCAGACTTGGCCTTGTTAGTTGCCCCCCCCCGAGTGAGATTTGAGTGATGTAACAGACAGGAAGCACAAAGATCTTAACTGTCTGTAGTTCTGTAATTTCCCCAAGAACCACGGCAGTACATCTGTACAGTGTGTTCCGATAACCTTATGAACGCCTTTCTCAATTTGGTCCACATTCATAAGTTTAAAAGTTCACAGCTCAAAAGTTCCTTTTATGAGTCACTTACACCCGTCGAGCACAGACATGCCGCATCTTTTCCACATCTTATCTCTGTGGAGCAGCTTTTTGAGATAAAAAAAAAAAAAGCTACAGTCAGCTGCTCCCTGAAGCGTAATTTATGGTGCCACAAATGTCTGTCCGCGTACACGGTTCTAGTTGCACAGTGAGCGGAGAAGGTTTTTTAGATGTGCTCCTATTTTGTTCTCCAAATTCCTAACAGTGCGTCGCTGGATGTGCATGACCTATGTGCCTGTTGAAGATACATTAGTTGACAGGTGGGTTGGAATAGGGTTAGGGGTCACAGCGGAGTTCACCAGGAATGGGAAAACCATGAAAAAAAACGGTGGTTTTACTCGGTTTCAATTCTTGTTACTTTTGTAACTCTGCTTGTGTCTGCAGCTGGCTGATAGACTAACACTACCCCAAGCAAGAGTAGCCCACACACCGGTTGTGGCATATATTTTGTTCACTGCCTCCATCACCAAAAAAGCTCTTTATGGGTAGACGGACCGTCCTCAGACTGCCTGAGGACTGTAAATGTGTTACCCCTGCTGAACCATAAATCCTGCTTTATTCACTAGAGGTCACCACAGTGAGTAGCTCCACGTATTTGATTTGGCAGATTTTTACACCAGATAAACTTTCTAACACAGCCCCTCAGGGGACTGGTATCTCGTCCCGGGACTGAATCTGGGATCTTTCACTTGTTAAGTGGAATTTATGGTGCAGTGGGGGAAAAACATTTGCAGTCACCTGGCAATCTGGCTTTGGCCCGTCTACTTATAGAGAGCTCTGTTGCCAGAGGGAGGTTTGTGGGTGCTCTTGCTTATGCTGTCGCTGGTCTGTCACTTTATAATGTAAATGGAGGTCATCTCTTTGAGTGAGAGACTACACCAATAAGTAGTCACTTAAGTGCCAGTTGCGCTTTAAAAAAGCTGCAGCGTTTCGTTCACTCCAGAGATGTGTTCTTCATGTAAGCCCTAAACAATAATAAAACACAGCAACTACTTTATTATGCAAGGAAAGATTAAACAAATATATACTTAAACTTAATCAAACTCAATTACAAATTTATGCTTTATTGTGCGTTTTACTTTCACAATAAACCTAATAAAGTGTTTAGTCTCTCATTTTGTGTCTTTTCTCTGTGTCTTTACTGTCAGGTGGTCAGGGCTCGACTGGAGGAGCATGGCGTGACGGTACGTGATGTTAAGCTGAATGGTTCAGCAGCCAGTCACGTACTTCATGAGGACAACGGCCTTGGCTACAAAGACCTGGACCTGATCTTTGGCTTGAGTTTGACTGATGACAAAACCTTCCGGCTGGTGAAGGACGTGGTGCTGGACTGCCTGGTGGACTTCTTGCCCGAAGGGGTATGCAGAGACCGAATCACAGCCCTTGCCCTAAAGGAGGCGTATGTTCAGAAGCTGGTGAAAGTTTGCAACGAGACCGATCGCTGGAGCCTCATCTCACTTTCCAACAACACTGGCAAAAACGTGGAACTGAAGTTTGTGGACACGCTGAGAAGGCAGTTCGAGTTCAGCGTCGACTCCTTCCAGATTACTCTGGACTCATTGCTGCTGTTCGACCGCTGCTCGGAAACAGCCATGTCCGAGACCTTCCACCCTACAGTCCAGGGAGAGAGTATGTATGGAGACTTTGAGGAAGCTCTGGATCACCTCCGCTCCAAGACCATCGCCACCCGCAGTCCAGAAGAGATCCGGGGCGGCGGCCTGCTCAAGTACTGCCACCTGCTGGTGCGCGGTTTCCATCCATCTTCCGCGACTCAGATGAAACAGATGCAGCGCTACATGTGCTCGCGCTTCTTCATCGACTTCCCCGACATAAACGAGCAGCAGAGAAAGCTGGAGGGATATCTGCAGAACCACTTTGCGGGCATGGAGGACAAGCGCTATGAGTATCTGGTGACTCTGAGACAAGTGGTGGATGAAAGCACTGTGTGTCTGATGGGACACGAGCGCCGGCAAACGCTGGCTCTTATTTCTGCCCTGGCGTTGCGTGTAATGGCCGAACAGAATGCCATCCCCGCTCTGTCCAACATCACCTGCTACTACCAGCCTGCTCCATACGTCAGAGACGTCAACTTCAGCAATTACTACGTGGCGCAAGTTCAGTCACCCATGGCTACGTGCAGTAACTCTTATCAAACATGGCTGCCTTGCAGCTGAGCAGTGTCTTTTATCACTGTGTGGAAAGTTGATGTTTCCTTTTCTTTTTTGAACCTTTACTTTGATGTAAGCAGAACATTCATTAACCGAAACGTTCACTGTACGGGGTCAGCGTTGTGTCGAACAGCCATGGCTGTAGAAGACAATCCATTCTTCTCAGTGTGAAGCTATTTACTGGGTCTGTGAGCTGTACATCTTAAGTTTCTGGCTCTGCTGCCTTCACGGAATAGGTCTTTGTTTTGTTAGATGAACTTGCGCCTCAAAACAGTAAAATTATATTTTCAATGTGTGCCTGTGATTTGTTTTGAATTTTTAAAGGATAATTTGGTAGGGAAAGTGAAGATCGTAAGGAAAGGAGGGAGGCAAATGACATGTACAAAGGTTTGGCCAGACTGGAAGGAATCTAACTGCCAACTTATTGCTCAGGGCATTTTCATCTAAAAACTTTTGTGCCCTAAACATTCAATTAATAGGTCACACAGCTATTAGCAACTACACAAAGTTTAATTTGTTATTGACCCAGCGCATAAAAGAATCTTCTGTCTTGCTGTCTGATCGTCTGCATATTTACAGTACAGCCCAATTCACTACCTTATTGTTCTGTTTACATATGTTTCCTGTTGTGTTGAATGATTCTCACTAATGTCATTTTATTAAACGATTTTTTTTTAAACAAGTGATGATAAGAAAGCCAGTCGCACAAATTTACATATGCTCAAGCATCTAAACCTGCTGCAAGTGGAAAATGTTAGCAAATTGACTGAATTGTGTTAGAAATGCGACAGCTGAAGACGTAAAACAAGTTTCAGTAATGTATAGTTATAACAGCGATGGAGCTCTTGAAGCTAGAACATGATGGATGCTGATGCATTGGGATTTTAGGGTGTCGTGTGCTTGGTATCCCTGTAACAATGTAGCTTTGTTATTTTGACCCCCAACTTTGTTGTTTTGCCAACTCTTGTATCAAAAATATTCCACTAAGTTATATCAATTAACACTGCTGTAAAAAAAAAAAAGAAATCTAATATGAGCCATTAAAATTATACCTTTTTTTTCTGGTATTTCATAACCAATGTGGATGTATATGGAAAAATATGAAGGCTTTATATATGAACTTTTTCAGTTTGTGTCTGATGTAGGCTCGGGTCTTAATGAAATGTAAATACTGGTTACGAAACCAAACTTTTTTTTTTTGTCATTTTTTTGTTCTGACTGTGGTTTCAGCTGACCTGACTGGGAGGGAAAAGGACCAAAGACATTCTTTGTGTAGCATGACAAACAAGGACTGTATATGGTTTCAAGTGCCTGAATATGACCTTTGTAGTAGTTGTTATGTATGAACTGTTTTTGAATCTTTTTCATTCAGGTTACTGTAAATTTCTATATCTAGGGTCAGGGTACTTGTTTCATTAAAAAAAAATATCAAAAGTTTAACGATGGTGATACTTTGGTCTTTCTTTTCACATTCTAGAAGTAAGATGTGGATGATAAGATGTTGACTCAAATTTGTCTAGAGACGTGCAGAATAAATGCATACTTTATCTCCGGTCAGTGTATCGCACTTTCTCAGTTTCAGTTGCTGTAGATCTCCCTCTGTGTATGTTTCGCTATCTTTCTCAATCACACACAAAACAGCTTGTGTGTTGTCTGTGTTCCATCAGCTACACAAAAACACTTATTTGTTCAAGCTTTTTTTGCCTCCCTGAGCAGTTTTCCCATGAGCCTGCACCTGTGCATTAGTCACGTCCCGCCAGCTGTGAATCTGACAAAGGTTTCCCTTTGCCCTATAGTCTCAAAAATGGAGATCTCTGTTACCTTGGATGAGTTGAGCTCTAATAGGTGCTGCTGAGAGCCAGGTGGTAAAATGGAAGTGCCGCCTTTTCAATAATGTCATGATATACTCGATATATACATGATATACTGATGATGAGCATGCTTTTTTATTTATTTCTCCTCACCAATATTTCTCTCCTATGATATGCATAACTGGGGGATGACTTCTTGGTATTTACTTGAGCATGAAATGGCAAATAGCTTGACACACCTGCTAAATATTTGTGGGTAAACAAGACATAGTACTTGGTCATTAAGGAAGTGCTGGAACAAATAAGTGAAGTCCTTGGTTATAAGTTCAATTGGAAGAAATGCATCTGTCAGAGTGATTAAAGAGGCGAGGTATAAATGCAGCTAGGGAAACAGCCAGTGAGGACAGCTAATCCTCAGTGGATTAGCTGTCAGAATTTTCTCCAAACTGCTACACAAACAGTCAAGGAAACATGTTGTAGGACTCCCACAGGGAGTTCCATGGGATAAGCATGCGTGAACACGGCAACTGAGACGGAGCTTGCCTTACCTTTAACAGCCCAGCGATTTCTGCGTCTGGTGGCCAGACCTCAAGAGATTTTTAGAGAGCTGGGAGGAAGTGTGTAAATGATAATAAACAAACTACAGCAAGTTGTCAAAGTTTAATTTGCTCAAGATTAAGGCTGAACTTGTAGCCGTGTGAGCATGACTCTGTTTATGAAAATGGAGGCCAGTCAGTCTACTGCAGATGGATTGCTCTGAAATTTCATACATAAATTCATATATAAACACATGCATACATAGAGTTTGATGATCTGAATTTGGCTGTAGGCTGTTGACTTCAAACTTATGAAATTTAATGCTGTTTTGCTTGATTCTTTGGTTGCCTTTGATCTACTTAGTGACAAAGAGACTTCTGATTATCCATCATTTTAGAATCTCAAACATAGTTTTTACCTGATTATACCAAAACTTTGGCCCAGACGTGAAATTTTGTAAATTTAGGTAAGGGGTATAATAATAATGTATACTTTATTGGTCCCCATGGGGAAATTACTCTCTCTGCATTTGACCGATTCACTCAGTGAAGCAGTGGGCAGCCACTAAGCAGGTGCACGGGGGTGCAGGGTGTAGGGACAGTACCTTGCTCAGGAGTACCATTCAGTGGATTTGAACCCCCGCCCTTCCAATCATGGGGGGACCACTCTACCTACTGAGCTATCCTTGCCCCCAAATCTGTATCTGTATTGGTGAAGGTGTAGGCACCAGTCACAAGCTTTCTGTAATAACAACTAGTCCTAACGATTCTTAAACTTTGCCAGTAGGTTGCAAACTATTAGTTGGTGTCCTGATGAAAACCATCATTGTAGCATTGTATTAACCAGAAAATATTTAAAGGTATAAAGAAGTTCTAGACAGGTTTACCTACAATGTGAACATGAATATGCTAGCAGTATTGCATATAATTTAGCATGCTAATGTTAGCAATGGAGTCCGGTGCTTTTTAGCCTTGTACGTATTTGCGGATAACATGATGTTGTCTGAACAAAACATTGTCAGAGATTGTTACGTAGTGACCAAAGCAGCACGAGGTTTTTAGTACGTACCTCTCTGCAGCTAACTTGATGACTGCCAGCAACCTCTGGTAACCACTCGGGTTGCCAACTGTCCCGTCTTAGCTG